ATCTTTACACTGCTAGAAGTGTCACCTTCCTAAAATACATTTGTAATAATGTAACTCATCTACACATGTAGGGGATACCCATCACATGAAGGAGTAAGTTCACATTCCAGCGTGACACATATCTTATATGGTGTGGTTCCATTTTATCTCTTCATCTCATTTCCTCCGACTGTGTTCCAGTTTCACCACATCCCTTTGGCACCCCTCATTTGCAATGTTGTTTCATGCCTTATTATTTTACACATGCTATTGCACCTAGACTTTGTATCCTGACTGCACTTTGTCTGTCCTTCCAAATACGGCCCAATTATGGTAGCATTTTCTATGCTTTTCAGGTAAAACTGATTGTTCTCTCCTTTGTGCCCTTATGTATTTCATTGACTTAAATTGCAGAACTGGTGAATTACACCCTTTTCTGTTTTTATTTGTGTTCATATGTCTCTGCCATTTCTTGAATATAGGTCAGAATCTATCTTCTGTATATATTTTCTGCTTCTCCCAGGATAGTGCCTGTGATTTGATAGATACAATGTATGTGTGTTTTTTGGGTCTTACTGACAAACTGAGTGAGTGAGTGAATAAATATATTTTTTCTGAAGTTTTTTTTGTTGTTGTTGCTTTTGTTTTTTGTTTGTAATAGGAGGGAGCAACAAAGACAGTAACTGGACAACAAGAAAATGACATTGGCATTATTGAACGAGCTCCACAAAATCAAGCAAGCAATGACAATTTTATTTTTTATACCAAAATAATAGAAGTGGTAAGTCAGTGAATATCTCTGAAAATATTTTTATGCTTAAACGCTATTATTTAAAAAATAACTTTATAGACCCAAATATAATGTCTACTTAAAAAAATACTTTTTGATATCTTTTTCCATACTATCAATTCTTTTTCCTGAACCTGCTTCAATGCTGAAATTCTATTTTTGCTATTACTGTTATTTTATTGAAATATTCATAAATGGATATAGTATATGTTTTTACAATTTGCAGTAAAAAATGTTCTCATATATGTGTCTGTGAATAACGTTTTGTAGATAAGATGCCCACATCAGAATCAGGACAAAAAGAAGATACAAAATGACCTTCAAATACTGAGGTACAGTGTATTGTTGTTGTTGTTGTTGTTGCTGTTGTTATTTTAAAACATAAGTAATGAGTCATATTAAAACATAAAAAGATGATTTGACTTTATTCTGTCACCTCTGCATGTGTCCATAAGAAATTATTTTCAGATATTTATCAGAACATACTTTATAATCATGTGCCAACTAGATAACTATTGCATAGTGCAATTCTGCTAATTTGCAGGATTAATTTAAGAAGCCAGTGTAGAATAGTGCAAAAGAAAATAAAGCTTAGAAGTCGCTAGGAATCTAGTTGAGTTCTGAAGTTAAGTTTGTCTAAAAACTAAAGAATTTCTCTGCATTCACCTATGAGCAAATATATGATTCTGTGTATCTCCAGATTTACGAAAGCTCTAATTGGATTCAGAGAGAAAGAGTTTAAATTGTAGTCTCAGTCTTGTACAACTTGGAACTTGAAAAGACAATGCTTGGGACTTGAAAGTGTTGGTATATTTTGATTATCCAGTATACAGCTGAAGGAGCATTTCAGGAGCCGGATAAACATGAGAAATAGGACACCTGTAAAACTATAATAATAACAATTTGGTTGAGTCGTGTTTTCATAAGTAGACATTCTTTTCACAAAGAGAACTCTTTGAGTCCCTTTGTGGCAGCCAGGTTTGCAGCCACATAAGTGTCAAATAATAATGATGTATTCCAAGGTCACAACAGTGCATGTGGAAGAGATAGGAAAGGCCTCACCACTTAGATAGAAGCAGCAGCTGCATAGTGGTAACAGCAATGAGTAGATGTCAAAAGATAAGTCTATATTTTGGTTCTGCCACTTACTAGCTATGGGAACTTGGAACAAATCATTTAACCTAATCAAATACCAGTAACCTTATTTATAAAAATAGTGCTCGTATCTACCTCTTAGGTCTGCATGATGAAATAATGTTGTAACAAATGTGAAAACACTTGTAAACTGAAAAGTCTGTATACAAATGTAAGACAAAATGATCAAAGTGGCATTGAAGTGAAGACAGTATTGGTAGGACAAGAATGGGGAGTAAGAACAGGCATGTGGATTTCTAATTGGGGGTAAGGGGATGATAACTTTCAGCAGGCTACTACTGAAGATTTTCCATAGAAATATAGCAGTCTGGAAAGGTAGACTTTTCTGATGAGATTTTAAATGTTTTGACCTGGAGTAATTTTTAAGATTGCAATTCTAACAGATTGGCTATAAAATAAATTTGTGTTTTAAAAATTTATAGTAAGAGGCCGGGCGCGGCGGCCCACACCTGTAATCCCAGCACTTTGGGAGGCCGAGGCAGGTGGATCACAAGGTCAGGAGATTGAGGCCATAACACGGTGAAATCCCGTCTCTACTAAAAATACAAAAAATTAGCGGGGCGTGGTGGTGGGCGCCTGTAGTCCCAGTTGCTAGGAGTGAGGAGGTCTCAGCCTCAGCAGTGAGGAGGTCTAAGCCTCGGCAGTTTTGGAGAGTCACTGCTGCTAAAGAATCTATTTGGGATTGTACAGTAAGGATAGATTTCGTTATTTCTTGCAAACTGTCTGAGAAATCCTTTGAGAGTGTGTGGTAGTAGGATAATGAAGTAGATAAACCAGGTATTCCAGTTCCTGTAGCAGTGGCCATTCCTAACCCTGTAAGTAGGGGTATTAGTTGTATGGCTGACGGACTTGAGCTTTAAGGAGTACTGATGAGGTCTGATTTCCTGGGGCAATATTAATGTTGGGACTTAGAAAGACTAAGGTGCAGGTGCCTGTCCAGTTAATGGGGAGGTAGATATAGGTCGATGTTCCACATAAGAAGAATATGCCTTGGCTGGGTAGACAGAACTGGTTGTGTATGTTAAAAAGGTGTATGAGTTTGTTGTTTTCATTTTCCCATACTCCTAGAGTACTTGCCAAGGTAGCTCCGGTGAGCGACTGGAAAGGGGTGTTGGGAGCAAACTGAGTGGCTCCCTGTGTTCTGTTTTCCCATTGGAGAAAAAACGTTTTGTAACTACTAGGAACCATTTGAGAGAGTGATTGAAAGAGGGGATGAGAAGGCATTCACTAGTGGTGGGGGCGCTGCTGCAGGGGGTCCAGAGGTGAATGGTCATGCAGGGAGTATGTTTGCCAGTACAAAACCTGGACAAATAGCTAATGTCACAAATAGCTAATGCATGCTGGGCTTAATATTTAGGTGATGGGTTGATAGGTGCAGCAAACCATTATGGCACACGTTTACCTATGTAACAAATCTGCACGTTCTGCATATGTATCCTGGAACTTAAAGTAAAATAATATTTTAAAAAATTTTAAAAAGAAAAAACATATTATTACTGTATCTGACATCAAAAGAACAGAGTATACTAAAAGTGGAAAGTTACTGTTTGTGAGATAAAATTTAATGTAAAGCAAATTTGCCTTCTATCCTATTTCAAGCATATGCTCAAATAAATTAAGAACACCTTGCCAGTTTTAATTACTAAATATTTTGGTTTTAAAACGAAATTTGTTTCATTTTAAATTTCCATTTAGCCTGCAGGGGTGTCCAATCTTTTGGCTTCCCTGGGACTCACATAAGATGCACTAACACTAGCAATAGCTGATCAGCTAAAAAAAAAAAAAAAATGCAAAAATATCTCATAATTTTATTTATTTATTTATTTTTTGAGACGGAGTCTTGCTCTGTCGCCCAGGCTGGAGTGCAGTGGCCGGATCTCAGCTCACTGCAAGCTCCGCCTCCCGGGTTCACGCTATTCTCCTGCCTCAGCCTCCCGAGTAGCTGGGACTACAGGCACCCACCACCTCACCCGGTTAGTTTTTTTGTACTTTTTTAGTAGAGACGGGGTTTCACCGTGTTAGCCAGGATGGTCTCGATCTCCTGACCTCGTGATCTGCCCGTCTCGGCCTCCCAAAGTGCTGGGATTACAGGCTTGAGTCACCGCGCCCGGCCATATCTCATAATTTTTTTAAGAGTGAGTCTTGCCCTGTCGTCCAGGATTGAGTGCAGTAGCAAGATCTCAGCTCACTGCAGGCTCCACCTCTTGGGTTCAAAGGATTCTCCCACCTCAGCCTCTGGAGTTGCTGGGATTACAGGCATGCTCACTGTGCCTGGCTCATTTTTGTATTTTTAGTACAGATACGGTTTTGCCATGTTGGCCAGGCTGGTCTTGAACTCCTGACCTCAAGTGATCCGCCAGCCTTGGCCTCCCAATAGTGCTGGGATTACAGGTGTGAGTCACCGTGCCCTGCCAAGAGCTTACAATGTTTTAATATTTGTCGGGCAGCATTCGAAGTTGTCCTGGGCCGCGGGAGCCCATGGGTTGAGACAGCATGATCTACAGCTTACTCTTCCCCAAATATTAAAACATACCATTAATTATCTTCCTTAATTTTAAGAAATAGCCTTTTAGCCTATGAGAAGCCAATTTGAAAGAGAAGAGATACAGGTAACAAGAGCTTAGGATAAACTGGGCATTAAATGTATCTCTGAGGGAAGACATTCCAGATTGAAATATACATCAATAAGATTGCTTTTACCTGGCCCTACATTCTTATTTACAGGATACTTACAGCGCTGTAATAATAGAGAATTCAAAAATTATCTGAATAACTGTTTTTTAAAATTACTGTTATTCAAGCATTAAAGAAGCAAAACCAAAACAGCTTGTGTCCAGGGCTCCAATCAATCAAGCGATGGGAATCTCAGCAAGGGAACAGGCTCTGCTTGTCATGTTTTCTCATTTTCCTCTCTCAATCTTCCTGAAAATTCTGAAGGTCGCAGAGGTAGAGATGAAAATCTAAGGTCACCAAGACTTAAGAAGGCATGGGATGGTGAAAGCTATTTTTAATTATAGTGTTGACCTCCAGATCTACTGGCCCCGTAATCTTTGTATAAATACAGTAGGAAGAACGTTTAACATTTATTCATTTGTTTTATTCATGTGTTGGTTCTGAACATTGATGCTTCGTGCCTGTTGGGAGGGTGGGGCATAGGCGGCCTCTTGACCACCGCTGGGGGAGCGGGCACGAAGTCCGGGGGAGGGCGGCTCCATGAAGTCCAGGGGCGGTGGCGGGAGCTCTGGATCCTCCAGCGGGGGTGGCGGCAGCTCTGGGTCGTCCAGTGGCGGCAGCGGTGGCAGTGGTGGCAGGAAGTCGTCGGGCGGGGCGGGAAAGCCCCCGCCGCCAGTGCTCTTGGCCTTGCGGGGCGTGAGGGGGCTGCAGATGGTGTCCCAGGACCTCTGCACCAGAGCAAGGGGCAGGCTGGACTTGGGGCCGTGTGGGGCCGGGGGTGCTCCTGGCTCCTGGTGGTTCCCGAGGGCTGGCTTCCTATCCTGCAACCCAGTGACAGCAGCATTCATTATTTTAAAATTTTTGAAATTTTAATTTATTGTTATTAATTAATGGACACAGGGTCTCACTCTGTCGCCCAGGCTGAGTGCAATGGCACAATCTGGGCCCACTGCAGCCTCGACCTCCTGAGCTCAAGCGAACGCTCCCACCTCAGTCTCCTGGGTAGCATTCTCTATTCTTGACAAAACAGCCCCAGTGGACAGGACCATGCCATAGATAGGTGAGTCTCTGTCTGCTCACTGGGGTGCCTCCGTCCCTCAGTCACTGAGAGCCCTGGTTGTTCATGAGCTCATCTTTGCTCTGGAATAGGGAAATGACTCTCAATGGCCTTTATTATTATTATTATTATTATTATTATTATTATTATTATTGAGACGGAGTCTTGCTCTGTTGCCCAGGCTGGAGTGCAGTGGTGCCATCTTGGCTCACTGCAACCTCCACCCCCTGGGTTCAAGCGATTCTCCTGCCTCAGCCTCCCAAGTAGCTGGGACTACAAGAGCTGGCCACCACGTCCTGCTAATTATTGTATTTTTAGTAGAGATGAGGTTTCATCATGTTGGTCAGACTGGTCTTGAACTCCAGACCTCATGATCTGCCTGCCTCTGCCTCCCAAAGTGCTGGGATTACAGGCATGAGCCACTGCGCCTTGTTTTCTTTTTGTCAGGATCTCACTGTGTCACCCAGGCTGGAGTGCAGTGGCGCAAGCTCGATTCACTGCAACTTCTGACTCTAGGGCTCAGTGATCCTCATGCCTCAGCCTCCTGAATAGCTGGGATAACAAGCATGTGCCACCATGCCCAGCTAATTTTTGTATTTGTTGTAGAGATGGTTTTTTGCCATGTTGCTCAGACTTGTCTCCAACTCCTGGGCTCAAGTGATCTGCCTACCTTGGCCTCCGAAAGTGCTGGAATTACAGGTGTGAGCCACCTCACCCAGACAGTTTACCTTTTCTCAACTGCATGAAAGTTGGCTGGTTCACCGGGTATAAAATGAGCCCAGTAGTCCCTATTATGACATGTGTCTCAGGTTGTGATGAGATCAAATGAGATACATATATGAGTTCTGAAAAGAAAAATCACCAGCGTGCTATTGGTAGAAACCAGAACGCCAAATTTGGCTGAAGTCTTATAGAGGTATAGCCCTTCCTCCACCAATACTCGAATAGATAAGGATAATTTGTGTGTATATAATGAAATGTCCCCAGGCAGCTGGATTGAATCCTTCTGTTTTAGTGATAATTATCATTCCAATTTACATTTCATCAGGGTTCCAGTTTTTTTCTTCCTCTGCTTAATAACCTCTTACCACTGAAAATTAAATTTGGAAGTTTTTTTTTTTTCTAACAGTGCCTTCTGATTTAGTTTCTATTTTAGTTTATTTACTTAGCATGATAAGCTAATTAACTGGCGATGTACATTTTCCTTTTTAAAAAATTTCTGAGCAGGCAGCTTGGGTATTGATGTTCACATATAGTTAAGTGATTTCTATTCTGGGATTCTTCTATTTCTTTCAGCATTTTTAAATGCTTTCCTTCGATTGGCATTATAGAAATAATGAAAATAATAATAGCTGAAAGCACATTGCATAAAGAGATTGTCAGGCTTGAGAAGATAACAAAAACACTAAAGAAATAGAACTTTTACAGGCCTGCAGTGGTTGTCAAAATTATAAGAAGTTCAATAAATACCAAGATTTAGTTGTTTTCATGACTGGCTGATGGACAAAATGAAGGGGCGAAAGAAGTGAAAAATTGCTAAAGTGAAGCACCCTGCCTGTCCTAGCTGGGTGACATGCTGTTGTCACAGTTATTTCGGGTTGTTTTGAATCACACATGAGAAATATTCAACAGAATTTATACAGTCAAATGGGTTTAGAACTAGATTAGTAACTAAATCATAATTATTCGCTATGATTTTAAGATAGATTTAAGTGAATCCTCATTGATCTGTTTGGTTGAAAAAATGTTATGGAGGATGTCATCCCTATTGGCTATCATTTTACAATGTATTTTCTCCTTCATCACCCTGGGGACGTATGTAGGACATCAGTGGGGACAATAGAAAATGCACAATTTTAGTGTAACCCTTTTTTATATTTGTTTCTTTTTTTAAGACAAGGTCTTTATTATGTAGGCTGGAGTGCAGGGCAGCCTTGAAATCCTAGGCTCAAGCCATTCAAACACCTCAGCCACCCAAGTAGCTAGGACCACAGGTGCACACTACCAAGCCTGGCTGGTTTTTTTATTTCTTGTAGAGATGAGCCCTCGTTCTGTTGCCCAGGCTGGTCTGGAACTCCGGAGCTCAAGCAATTATGCTGCTTCGGCCTCCCAAAGTGCTGGGATTACAGGCGTGAGCCACCGTACCCAGCCTGTTTGCTCTTTTAAAAGAGCAGTTATTGGAACAATGCGAATGGTTGAGAACATGGGTTTTAGGGGACGGCTGATGGAATGTATGTCAGCTGCTTGCTGGTTTTACCTTCGATGTTTCAGCGTGTGTCTGGGCCTCTTGGAGAACAGCACTGACAGAATGTGCAGCCTGGGGCATCTGTCCATTGGGCTGGGCGGTGCCATTTATAGGTCCTGAGAGGGAGGAAGCGAGAAAAGAAGAGTGAGCAAAGCATTTTCAACATTCTTGAAAGTTAATCTGAAAATACAAAGCAGTTTACATCTCTAAAGCAAAGAAAGATACTTGCCGGCTACTTCTTACAAAAATAAAAAATAAAACAAAGCAAAGAAAGCAATTCACAGGCATGGCGTGGTACACAAAACCTTACAAAAAATCTGAGGTTCTGTGACAAAACTGTATAGGAGATTCAGCAGAAGGTTCAGGAAGGTGAGTGCGGTATTTGATAAAGCCCACCGAGGAGGGTCTGGATTAACTGGGATCGTGGAGAGGAATAGTATGTTTTACTTTTGAAAAGCTTTTGATAATTGAAGAATAAACCTTGAAAACCAATTTTCTTTCAAAAAAATTCTATTGTTGATTTCCCTAAAATGTATTTATCTAGTTTCACACCGTGCTGAGTACAGGAACAACTTTCGAACATTGTCTTCGACAGAGTATATTGGGCTGGGTGTGGTGGCTCAAGCCTGTAATCCCTGCACTTCGGGAGGCCGAGGCGAGCAGATCACGAGGTCAAGAGATTGAGAGCATTCTGGCCAACATGGTGAACCCCGTCCCTACTAAAAATACAAAAATTAGCCGGGGGTGGTGGCGGGTGCCTGTGGTCCCAGCTACTCGGGAGGCTGAGGTAGGAGAATGGCGTGAACCCAGGAGGCAGAGCTTGCAGTGAGCCGAGATCATGCCATTGCACTCCAGCCTGGGTGACAGAGCAAGACTCTGTCTCAAAAAAACAAAACAAAACAAAAACAAACCAACAAAAAAAAAAATTTTAAAATTTAATAAGGCATCATGACCCACACCTCTAATCCCTGCCACTCGGGAAGCTGAAGCAGGAGGATCACATGAACTTGGGAACCAAGGGTTGCAGTGAGCTGACATCATGACATAGCATTCCAGCCTTGATGACACAATGAGACTCAGTCTCAAATAAAAAGGATGATACTCAGGGGGAAATGGTGGGAAGGGGGAGAAAGTTAAGAGACTACAAATTGGATTCCGTGTGTACTGCTTGGGTGATTGGTGCACCAAAATCTCACAAATCACCACTAAAGGAGTTACTCAAGTAACTAAATACTACCTGTTTGCCAAAAATTTATGAAAAGAAAAATTTTAAAGAAATTTTAAATTGTGAAAATTTACTGTTGTACTTTCAAGTTACAAAAGCACATCTATCATGAGACTTAATTATTCTAATGTTTAAAGAAATGAAGAGAACAACCAGAGTTTAAATGGAAAAGCTGTCAGACATTTCGTCTACAGCAATGAAATGTGTAGCATGCGTTTTGTATTTTGAAACTTAGTTTTCAGCCATCCTGGGGGAAGAAGAAGAGGAAACAGAACTGAGCATTGGGGTAGGTAGGAGGAAAGTAAGAAACCGGTTGGACACAGCAGGGAAAGAAGAAGGGGTGAGGACTCCAGGCAGAGCCAGTCCTCCTGCTTGGGGCCTGGGCGTAGGAAAGCAAATGCCGGGCAGGAGGAAGGAGCCCCAGGCTGTGGGTGCCTCTGGGGGGACCTTGGGTCAGCGATGGCCAGAGGAGCTCCTGAACTTAAGCAGTATCTGCCACCTCCCTACCTTTGGGTGTCTTCTGGTGGCCAATGTGCTGCCGTCAGGACCCTTGCTGGCTCCCAACTTCTCCTGGGCAGGCTCCAAAGCAGTGGAGTCCAGCGCTACTGCCGCCTCCACCTTGTGGATCTCTGAGACGCAGGACGGTTTCACCTGCCGCACTCTGAGATAGCCCCGCTTATGGCTGGCATTGGGCGACAGTGTGTTCTAGGCACCTCTGCTCTTGTATGTCGCGGCCTGCGTCTTTGCTGTCTGGACACTCGTAGATGTCAGAGTCAGAAGCTGGCTGTTGAGAACCCTTGTGCCAACCCTGATTGGGGCTGGCTTTGGTGAATATTCGACAGTTCAGTGTGGACCACGTGGGACGCCCCTGCTGTTCTCGGACAGCATGGGCCTTGGCTTGCTCCGCAGTCTGCATAGGTGAACACCTATTGCCTCTTCCTGGCAAAAACATCACTGCCACGGGCAGCCCTGGGCCATGGGGCAGCACTGCACTAGCAGCCGGCATGTGTACCCTGAGCTGACTTGTCTGCTAAAAAAAACCTGTCAACCTCTCCAGTTTATTTTAGAACGGCCTGAATGCAACACACCTGAGACCTGTTACTGGGGGAGAAGAGAGCACAAACGGATTCATCCTTCTGCCACCACTGCCCAACAACTGAAGACCACCAACTAGGACCACCAACTAAAGAGAAACAACTGAGGGTACCAACTGAGGGCACTAACCGAAGGCAACCAATGAGGGCACCCACTGAAGGCCAGTTGCCCTGCCAACCAGACCACATACTGGTTAGAGGAAACAATCAGGCCCAGAATCCTTTGCATGTGTCCCCCTAGCTTGGAATTGAGAGCTCAAGCACCAGGCTCACAAGGCCCCACCCTGCCAGTGGACCTCCCCCACCTTTCATTCATTGCTGGCTGCTAGAAACTTTCAGGTTGCTCACTGTGATGAAGTTCCTAGGGATCATCACCTTACAATGAATGATGCTAAAATTACTGAAACCAAATCTGCCTCATACACTGTCTGGGATTCAAAAAACCCTCTTTCCCCCATAACCTCTGAGATTTTTACAAACTAGAAAAATGACAGATTTCTGCAGCTGCTGTCAGAAAAACACATTGCCATGAGCTACACCTACACTATAATGTCAAATCATATTTCACATATATATACACATATATATTCAATCCACACATATTCCATTTACATTTTTTGAAAATAACATACATATTCAATCAAATTAACAAGAGTAATAGAATACATTTTCTAAAAATTATAGACAAAGTATAGCACAGTTTTCTAGTGATCATTTTGATACAGCAACTTAGAATCTATGCCTTGAACAAAAAAAGAGGCTTATATAAGAGAAAAGCACCACATAATACAAGATTTTAAATGTGATCATCATTGCTACTTTTAGCTGGCAATTACCCACTAAATGTATTGTAAACTGCTCTGTGACTATGGTGACTCATTTAATCTTTGTGATCCTTGCTTTGATTATCTCAAAAATATGAGTAACACCATTTTATAAACTTGCTCTAAAAATTAAATGAGAGAAAAATAATCCTTCTCTATATATTTAACACTTACAAAATTATAGGCATTGTGTCCAGGTTTTTACACACTTACCTTGTCGAAGCCTCATAACAATCCTATCTTTTAAATTACAGGCATTTTGCCCACACAAATTTTTCCTCATTTACCTTCCAGAAGCCTCATAAGAATCCCATCTTTTATAGATAAGCAAAGTGAGGCTCAGAGGAGTTAAAAACACATTCACGATCACATCCTAATGAGTGTTAGAACTTGGATTCAAATCCAGTTGTCTCTGATGCCAAAGGTGGTGCAAACTTAATGAAGACCAAGATATACCCAGTACATGGAGGGATCAAGACATGTGGATCCCCTTTCTCTACCGTCTTATTTGTGGATTTCAATGGCTTTCACAGCCTCAGAACAATCCTAAACTCCCTCCCAGGTTGCTTTGCAGTCCTTCCCTTCTTCTTGGAAATGACTGGGAATCTGCATATTTAGACCACAAGCATCTCCTTAGAAACAGGATTGTTGATCAAGAAACCAAAGTTTTGGCCGGGTATGGTGGCTCAAGCCTGTAATACCGGCACTTAGGGAAACCAAGGTGAGCAGATCACCTGAGGCCAGGAGTTTGAGACCAGCCTGACCAAAATGGTGAAACCCTGTCTCTCCTAAAAAGAACAAAATTAGTTGGGCCTGATGGCGCATGCCTCTAATCCCAGATACTCCGGAGGTTAAGGCAGAAGAATTGCTTGAACCCAGAAGGCAGAGGTTACAGTGACCTAAATTATAGGTATTGTATCTAGATTTTTACGCACTTACCTTATAGAAGCCTCATAGAAACGCTTTCTTTTAAATTACAAACATTTTTGCCATGGTTTTCATACATTTACCTTATGGAAGCCTCATAACAATCACATCTTTTATAGATGAGAAAACTGAGGCTTTGGATGCCTCTGGGGAACCTTGGGCCAGCAATGGCCAGAGGAGCTCCTGAATTTAAACAATATCCGTCGCCTCCCTACCTTTCGGTGTCTTCTGGTGGCCAATGTGCTGCTGTCAGGACTCTCGCTGGCTCCCAAATTCGATTGGGCAGCCTCCAAAGCAGTGGAGTCCGGCGCTACTACCACCTCCACTTCATGGATCTCAGAGCTGCAGGACAGCTTCACCCACCGCACGCTGAGATAGCCCAGTTTGCAGCTGGCATTGGGGAACAGCGTGTTCCAGGCGCCTCTGCTCCTGTATATCGCGGCCTATGTCTTCGCTGTCTGCATCCTAGTAGATGTCAGAGCCACAGGCTGGCTCTGAAGAATGCTTGTGCCAGCCCTGATTAGGGCTGGCTTTGGTGCGTATGTGACAGTTCAGTGTGGACCCCATGGGGTAAACTCTGCTCTTCTCAGGCAGCTTGGGCCTTCGCTTGCCCCCAGTTCTGCAGAGCTGAACACCTCTCACCTCTTCCTGGCAAAAGCATTGCTGCTACGGGCAGCCCTGGGCCATGGGGCAGCAATGCGCTAGCAGTTCTCATCCCGTGTCAGCCCCATAGCGTGACCTGACTTGTCTGCTAAAAAACCCTGCCAACCTGTCTGGTTTATTTTAGAAGGGCCTGGATGCAATAAACCTGAGAGCTGTGACTGGGGGGAGGAGTGAGCACAAACGGATTCATCCTCCTTCCACCACTGCCCAACAACTGAAGACCACCAGCTGAGGGTACCAACTGAGGACACAAACCGAAGGCAACCAATGAGGGCACCCACTGAAGGCCACCAAGTGAAGGCTAGTTGCCCTGCCAACCAGAACGCATCCTGGTTCAGAGGAAACAATCAGGTCCAGAATCCCCTGCAGGCCTCCCCACAAACTTGGAACTTGAGAGCACAGGCACACGGCTCACAAGGCCCCTCCCTGCCAGCGGCCCCGCCCCACCTTTCATTCATTGCTGGCTGCTGGAACCTTTCAGGTTTCTCACTGTGAAGAAGTTCCTAGGGATCATCCCTTACAATGAACAATGTTAAAATCACTGAAACCAAATCTGCCTCACGCAGTGTCTGGGATTCATAGAATCCTCTTTCCCCCATAATCTCTGAAACATTTACAAACTAGAAAGAAGAGAGATTTCTGTGGGTGCTTTCGGAAAAAAACGTTGCCATGAGCTAAGCCTACTCTATAATGTCAAATCGTATTTCATATATGCACATATAAATCCAATCCACATATATTCAATTTCCGTTTTTGAAAATAACAAATATGTTCAATCAAATTAAAAAGACTAACAGAAGAAATTTTCAAACATTTACACACTAAGTAAATCACATTTTTCTAATGATCGCTTTGATAGTGCAACTTAGAATCTGTGGTTTCAAAACACCAAGAGAATTATGTAAGAGAAAACCACAACATAATACAAAGTTTTCAATGTGG